TTGCTTCTTCAGTTCTTTTTTCTGACTCTTCTTGGGGAAAAAAATCTAAAAAGGTGAGTAGCTGGTGGGCCTCCCAGACCCCAGGCTCTTTTCTACGTGCTTTCAGCACAGGTATGTGCCTGCTATGCTCAGATTTCTCTTTCCTCGTGGAGTTGATACCTGGAAAGTTTTGGCTATCTGGTAGTTTCGCTTTGCATTCATCGGTTTCCCATCCTTTGGGACAGATCGAAGAAGCATCTCTTCCGCAGAAAGTCTGCAAGCAACCAGAGCTATACCGTTTCCCGTGTAGAATTTGCAACAGTGCATTTGTCTGGCTGGTGTGTGAAAATGTGACTGCGTTTCTAACGTGGTTTACTTCCGAGTGGTTTGTAGGTGGCTGTGTCAGTGACTGATGCCACCAAACTAATTTCCTTATCAGGAAACTGAATGGGAACGTTGTTCAGGTTGTAGCATTTATTTGTGAGTGCATTGCACAGAGGGCATGGGGACCTTTTCAGTATTAGGCTTTGAATCTGTCAATTTTGTCCCATCACTTAATACAACACTGCATTTTGCTGGATAGTAAACCATTAAAGTAAAGAAATGGTTCCCAAGGGCCTGGGAGGGTGGGTTCCTGACGTACATGCCCGTTTCGCGTTGACCTCATCTCCTTTGTTGGGTGACCAAGTGGATGATGAGCATCACGGACCTTCTGAGCGCGGACGACATCGCAGCGGCCCTGCAGGAGTGCCAAGGTAAGCGGGGTGCAGCCCAGGAGGCAGGTGTGGCCTTTCTCACCTGTTCACATCTCTGGTGAAGCAACGGGAGTGAACTTTGCTGAAATTCACAAAATCTGAGAATAACACTGTTATTAATTAGATGATGGAAATGATAAGGATGTGAGATCCGAACCATGTGATCGCTTTCCTTGATCCTCGGCTTTGAGTCGATTCTGACTCCTAAGGACCCTATGGGACAGAGCAGAACTGCCCCCTACTGTTCCCAAGGCTGTCATCTTTACAAGCAGACTGCCACATCTTTCTTTCGTGGAGCAGCTGGTGGGTTGCAACTGCTGACTTTTCTGTTAGCAGCTGAGTGCTCAACCACTGTGCCACCAGGGCTCCTTTGTAAGAGTAAAGAACCTTCCTAAAAGTGGAAAAAGACACCAGTGGGTGCCATTTTGTCTGATTGAATCCAGAGGCTGCATTTTTCGCCACCAGTTAGACCCGCGATGTTGGGGTCTTGGATACACAGTGGGCAGGGGGTGGGCATCAAGGAGGGAGAACAGGAAATGGACAAGATCAAGTTGGGGAGGGGCAGGTGACACCACCACTGAGCCATGTGGTCTTGGTGACTCAGAATTGTGGTCCAGTAACAGCCCTTCTCTGTCGTTTTAAAAAACTAAAAAGAAGAAATGAAGTGGCTCAGGGCTGTTATATTAAGCAGCTGTACTAGCCTGTGTTTTCAACACGCTGGTCCAAACGCAAAATGTGACCCAATGAGCTTCAGAATGCCCGTTCTCTGTCCTTCAGACCCAGATACTTTTGAACCCCAAAAATTCTTCCAGACGTCAGGCCTCTCCAAGATGTCGGCCAGCCAGGTGAAGGACGTTTTCCGGTTTATAGACAATGACCAGAGTGGATACCTGGATGAACATGAGCTGAAGTAAGCATGGGCCTTAGCCTGCCTGGCATGTGGGTGGGGGCAAGAGAGGCCCTTTTTCTCGGCCTTTCTTCAACGGTCAGCCTCGTTGCTGGTCACTCAGAAAAACCTCACTATAAGCGAAGAGTGTGAGCATGCTGGCCACACATCTCCCTGCACAGAGCGCTGAACCAGAGCCCCGAAGGCTGCAGGTGCAAAATTTCATCCGCTCCAGGGGTTTTCTTGGGCAAAAGGACTTAACGAAAGCCAGTGAGGGTCTCAGAAGCAAAACGCCCACCACTGGTTTCGACGATGGAAGCGTCTACCTTTGCCCAGTAAGAAAGAGCTTGAACGATGGCCACAGACAGGTGGCTGGCTTAGAGTCAGTGCAGAGGGGCGTGGTTTTCGGGAAGTCCGCATCAATCTTTGTCACCCCGCAGGTTTTTCCTCCAGAAGTTTGAGAGCGGTGCTAGAGAACTGACTGAGTCAGAAACCAAGTCCCTAATGGCTGCTGCAGATAATGATGGAGACGGGAAAATCGGGGCTGAAGGTACGCTCGCCCCGTGTGGACGCTCACCCCTGTGGGGAGCCCACACCGTGCTGGTCACGGGGTGGCCGTGGGGCTCGGGCTGTGAAATCAACAGAGACGGGTTAACTCCCCTTTAACCGTGCTGAGCCTCGGCCTCATCTGCACGATGGGCCTAAGGCGGGATGGCGAGTGACGCAGGTGAACACTCTGCCATGAGGCCTGGGGACACGCCACAGAGGCCAGTTTGTCTGGTCATTGTGAGAGCCAAAAGTGTCCCTCGCCTGACTAGCCGGTGCTCTGGCCAGTTACTTGCAAGACGCCCTGAGGCACCTTGCAAATCCCGCCAGGAATTTCCACCCATGGGAATGGAGCCCATCTGAGTAAGAGAAGGCTCCATTTTCTCCAGCACGTCTCCAACCAAAGACGTGACTGCCACAAGTAGGAGGGCCTCTTAGTTTCAAAGGCTGAAACAAATTATTTTGATTGGGCATTAGCCCACTGAGTGGACAATATCAAACAGAGCAAATAAGCCCTCCACCATGTATGGGCTGCCCTGTGTGCAGGGTCCTGTCTTCAAATTTTAACACAACTGCACAGCCTTATCTTCACTTGCTTCTGTCATGTTGCTGATAATGATTTTTGGCTCTTTTGTGCCAATTCAGAAGGGCATGGGGGGCCCTTCTGGTGGTGCCAATTTGAAATTAAAACCTGCTACTTTAAGTCCTTATTTTAAAAACCTATTCAAAACTATACTACTGTAACTTAATATGCCAAATAATAATAATTCATTGCCATTGGGTTGATTCTGGGTCATAATGGCCCCCTTTTGGTTTCCGAGGCAACAAATCTTTACAGAAGTAGATTTCCCCATCTTCTTCCCACACAATGGCTGGTGGGTTTGGACTGCCAACTTTCTGGTTAGCAGTCAAATGTCTTAGGCAGTATGCCACCGAGCTCCTTACTTACTAGGTGGAGTTAATGCACGTTCCATGGCTCGAACCTAGAGAAAAGTTTAGGTAAACCAAACCAAACCCACTGCCATCGAGTCGCTTACGACTCCTCGTAGCCGTAGAGGACAGGGGAGAACTGCCCCACAGGGTTTCCAAGGCTGTAAATCTTTAGGGAAGCCGACTGCCTCGTCTTTCTCCCACAGAGTGGCTGGTAAGTTTGAACCACCGACCTTTTGGTTGGCAGCCGGAAGAGGATTGATTTATTTACGTATAACCACAAAAGACTTCCAAAAGGCAACACTTACCAATAAACATAAAGCCAATCTCTGGGGGTCAGTGTCAATCAGCAGCCTCCACATGCTCTTAGTGCAGGGAAACCTTCAGAAGCTGGAACCTGCGGAAGCAGAAACCTGTCAGAGAAGGAAAACGCAAATATTTTTCATAAGAGAGAACAATATAAAGTGATCAGACTGCATGCACCCTGTCAAAGGTGGAGAACTTGTGAGACCTGGAAAACCAAGGCAGTCCCCTCAAGTTCTAGCTCTCGCAGGTCTGAGTTCTCGGATGGCTTTCTGCCTGACACAGTTTCCAGCTTTCACAGACTTTACTTACAAACTTCTGGGGATAGCATTAGGGTTCAGTATTGTTCTTCAAATCGAGAAAAGTCTGTTTAAAATCCCACCCTATTAGATGTTTCCTAAAAATGCAACACAAGGCTACAGGAAAGGGGAAGAGAACCTCCCATCTCGGTTTTAAGTTACCCAGACAAAAAGGTCAAAGTTCACAGATTCTGACTGAAGTCATTCCTGATCAGAGAGAAGTAGTTGGGCAGACAAGTGTTAATACAAGGTGCTTTATTGCAAAGAAGGAGCCCTGTTGGCACAGGTCACTAACCAAAAAGTCGGTAATTGGAACTCACCAGCTGCTCCACGGGAGAAAGACGAGGCAGTCTGTTTCTGTGAAGATTGACAGCCTTGGAAACCCTGTGGGCAGTTCCGCTCTGTCCTCTAGGGGCGCTGTGGGTCGCAATCAATCCAAGGCAGTGGGTGTGGTTTGGGCTTTGCTTCTGTGAAGATTGACAGCCTTGGAGACCCTGTGTGCAGTTCCACTCTGTCCTCTAGGGGCGCTGTGGGTCAGAATGGACTCCACGGCCGTGGGTGTGGTTTGGGCTTTGCTTCTGTGAAGACTGAC